CTTTAGCCTCATAAGATACATATGTAGGTTTACGGTAAGTACGTTGTAATGATTTCAGTCTTACAACATATTAACTGTAGTTCTTTAGCCTCATAAGATACATATGTAGGTTTACAGAACGAAAAAATACCAGTCTGATAACGTTATATAGAACAAAGAAATACCAGTCTGATAACTATATACAGAACAAAGAAATACCAGTCTGATAACTATATACAGAACGAAAAAATACCAGTCTGATAACTATATATAGAACAAAGAAATACCAGTCTGATAACTATATACAGAACAAAGAAATACCAGTCTGATAACTATATATAGAACAATGAAATACCAGTCTGATAACTATCTACAGAACAAAGAAATAACAATCTGATAACTATATATATAACAAAGAAATAACAATCTGATAACTATATATAGAACAATGAAATAACAATCTGATAACTATATATAGAACAAAGAAATAACAATCTGATAACTATATATAGAACAAAGAAATAACAATCTGATAACTATATATATAACAAATAATGACTAACTTGATATTAAAGAAGAAAGAAAGGCTATAAAGCTTACATTATATTCGTCTGATTTTCTTCCTCAATTTCATATATTGGATAACTTACCTGAACAAACTTGTGTTGTGTTTTAGCGACATTAGAATGTTGTTCACTACAAACAATATTAGATAACTTACCTGAACAAATCTGTAAACTTGTGTTGTGTTTTAGCGACATTAGAATGTTGTTCACTACAAACACTAAATTGTAAGTAATTTTCAAGACTGTGTAAACTAATCCGCCACGTGTAACAAAAATTCATTGATTTAAACTTTTCTAAGGACCATCGTAAATTTACACTGCAGTTTCGTTAAGAATAACAGAATTTCCTAATCACATTAGCCTACAGGGACAAAACTGTACATTTTATGGCATTTCATGTTGCATTATCCTAAAAATACCCTGAAAAGTTTTATTTAGGATACTTGTGGTAACACATGTGAATGCCACAAATAGTAAGATATAATTGTTGTGTAATGATTTCATCCAAGGTTCTGTGACATTAAAGAAATCCACATGGCACCCCAAGAGTTTTATTAAGATAAACATCTTTAAACTATTTAAAATGTAAAAGGAAAAATTGGTTAGTTGTCCTCAAATAGACATAATGCATTTGGACTTACTTCTGTACCACCACTTCCCCAGTCTTTCGTCTATTGCCATCACCATCAACTCTGGATCATCTTCAGCCGACATGTTTCGCCAAAACTCATGAACAGCAAATCCTTCAAACGTTTGAACTCCATCTGAACTTGAAACTAGCCAATACTGACCAACGATTGATCCTGACCACATGAAATATGTATAAAATATGTTTAATTTTTGATTACTTTTTGAGATTCTTAATCGCATAACTCTGATTTTTTATTAATCCAGAGATTATTTCAGTAGTTGATCATGTTTTTTAAATCATAGAGATTATCTTAAGATCAATCATATAATCCTTCTTTTTTAATTATGGAGATTATATTAAACCCAATCACTTAATCCTATTCTTTGAATTATGGAAATTATATTAAGCCCAATCACTTAATCCTATTCTTTTTTAGTTATGGAGATTTATCTTAAGCTCAATCACTTAATCCTATTCTTTTTTAGTTATGGAGATTTATCTTAAGCTCAATCACTTAATCCTATTCTTTTTTAGTTATGGAGATTTATCTTAAGCTCAATCACTTAATCCAATCACTTAATCCTTTCTTAATTTCTTTCACCTAATCGTGTTTTTAAGATATGGAGATTATCTCAGTCTCTTAATCTGTTTTACTTCTAATTATAGAATTAATCTTTTAAAATTTTTAAATGACAGCCAAACCCCTTCATCGATCTATCAATTAACCATACACAGCTTTTCATATTTTTTTTGTAGACTGTATATAAATTTATACTTCTCTTCTGGATTTATTTCTCAGCGTTATCTACCTTATATCTTAAAGCTTCCATGACTCGGGAGTTAAGTACCCTATATGTCGAAGCTTCAATAGGTCAAAAACCAATAATCTAAATATCACAGCTTCAGTATCTGAGAAGGTAAGTGTCATGTGTCAACATACACAGCTTGTCCTCTTACTGAACAATACACGTGTTTTTTCAGTTGTGTTAACTGTTCTAAAGTTAAAGTTTATCAACATACACAGCTTCTCCTCTTACCGAACAATACACGTGTTTTTCAGTTCTGTTAACTGTTCTAAAGTTAAAGTTTATCAACATACACAGCTTGTCCTCTTACCGAACAATACACGTGTTTTTTTGTCATATTAACTCTTCTAAAGAATTTTTCCTATTATTCAACAACATCCCTTATTATCTTCTAAATGTTTTAATTTTTATGTAGTGACAGACATTACTTACCAGTACACTCTTGTCTTCTCTTTGCTGTCAAACATGATTTCGTTTCAGGACAAATCACGTGACCAGGAGGACAGTTAAGGTATACGTTCTCCAGCCAGTAACTAAAGGTCTTATCAATAGAGCAGGTGCTAAACACATCATCACTGAAGAAAAAATACATACTTATTAGTGTTTTGGCATAATTTTATAAACGATGTTTTACTAATGACCTTCTAAAACTTTGATTAAACAACTTCACACTGTTAACAATACGAACAGGACATTATATTCTATTCACACTGTGAACAATACAAACAGGGCATTATATTATATTTACACTGAGCAATACAAACAGGACATTATATTATATTCACACTGTGAACTATACGAACAGAACATTATATTATATTCACACTGTAAGCAATACGAACAGGACATTATATTATATTCACACTGTGAACAATACGAACAAGACATTATATTATATTCACACTGTGAACAATACGAACAAGACATTGTATTATATTCACACTGTGAACAATACAAACAGGAAATTATATCATTTTCACGCTGTGAACAATACAAACATAACATTATATTATATTCACACTGTGAACAATACAAACAGGACATTATATTATATTCACACTGTGAACAATACGAACAGGACATTATATTATATTCACACTGTAAGCAATACGAACAGGACATTATATTATATTCACACTGTGAACAATACGAACAGGACATTATATTATATTCACACTGTGTCCTGTTCGTATTGTTCACAGTGTGAATATAATATAATGTCCTGTTTGTATTGTTCACATTATATTATATTCACACTGTGAACAATACGAACAGGACATTATATTATATTCACACTGTGAACAATACGAACAGGACATTATATTATATTCACACTGTAAGCAATACGAACAGGACATTATATTATATTCACACTGTGAACAATACGAACAGGACATTATATTATATTCACACTGTGAACAATACAAACAGGACATTATATTGTAACGAGTACAAACTATGTATGTCACATAAATGTGTTATCTTTGGTTATTTCTATTTGAAGAAAATATTAGATAGATTGTTGTTCTCAGCTATTTCCGTACAAAGTAAGTATTGTATTCAAATTGCCCTTGTTTATCGTCGAGAGTATTTAAAATTTGTCCCTCGGTAGGACAGCGTTGAGTCTTCGGATTTACAATGTTAAAATCAGGGGTTCTATTCTCCTCGGTGGACACCAAAGGGATTGAGCCCCGAATTTTAGCGTTACAAGCCTTCAAACTTCCCGTTGACCCTCACAATAACATGTAGATGCTTACCAGAAAGGTCCACACTTTGAACAGAAAAACATTCGCTTCAAATTATCATACAAATTCAACACAAACTCTAATAAAAAACAAAACTAGAAGTAGTATTTTGATGTTGGAAATAGAAGAGCGATCACTGCGCAGAGATTACTTTGCACTCTCTACTAGCTGACTCGCACATTTTAACGTTAGACATACACTATACGGTAACTAACATGTACTATTAAAAAGTCAAATTAGTCTGTCTTATAAACCTTCCTCTGTCGATCAAGCACACGACTGCTTCTTGCTCTTTCTCAAAGGAAAGCTTCGTAATTCCTGGTATTGGAATGTCCAGCTCATCAGATCCACCGGATAGGAATAAGCTGTTTGCTGAAAGCATAAAATCATAGTTTCTATAAATATAAGGACACGTATCTAGAAGCAGAAGCTAATTTATTAGTATTTTGTGACTGAATTTCAAATTTTATGTGATTTTAAAATCTTTAGAAACATTTCACCAGTTTTACTTTAAATATCCAAAAGTAAACTCTAATGATACTATATTTTATGTCTCCCACAATTCACTGCCCAGGAGGCCTAACAACATTCTATTTTCCATTAGTCACTGTCCAGAAGGCCTAACAACATTTTATTTTCCACAAGTCACTGTCCAGGAGGCCTAACAACATTCTATTTTCCATAAGTCACTGTCCAGGAGGCCTAACAACATTCTATTTTCCATAAGTCATTGTCCAGGAGGCCTAACAACATTCTATTTTATGTTTTCCATAAGTCACTGTCCAGGAGGCCTAACAGCATTCTATATTTTGTCTCCCACAAGTCACTGTCCAGGAGGCCTAACAACATTCTATTTTATGTTTTCCATAAGTCACTGTCCAGGAGGCCTAACAACATTCGATCTTCTGTTTTCCATAAGTCACTGCCCAGGAGGCC